ATGCATTTATTTATTTATTTATTTTTCATAAAAACAAAATCTATGCACAGTAATTAAAACCAATCACGTCCTGAATAAAAAGAGTGCAGCATGAAAACAAAAAATCTAATCATATCTGCCACTTTAAAAAAAACAACTTCAACAAACAAGCAAACTCAAGCTTGAACGATCACCAATGATCTTAATGTTTTTTTTTTATAAAAGTGTTTGGTGTTAACAAGTGTTTTTTAGCAACTAACAGTAAAAAAAAAAGTACCCCGTTAAGCAAAAAACAATAACTAATGATAAGTTCAACAGGTTATAGTTAGCTCAAATTGTGTGATTGTATTAAAAATCCTTTAAAACAATTTTACAATACTGAAAAAAGTTCTGCTTTAGATTCCTCCACAAATAGTAAATAGTAGGAAAATTCGTTGAGAATCATTTAATAATTGATTATAACTGCTTAAAATGTGAATCGATTCATAAAAACAAATCAATCAATTTCATTACAGTAAGTTATGTCTTTAAGACAAATTCAGTTTGATGTTTGATAACTTTTGGTGACATTATTTAGTTAAATTCTGTTACTAAGGCAACAGACAGTCACAGTTTGGTACAAGGACAAAAATGCTGGTGTCAAAAGAAATAAAACAAGTTTGCTTATAAAATGGTTACAATTCATTTAGCTGAGAAAAAAGAAAATAATAGTTATCTTGAACTKAAAATCAATAACTGAATTGGGGCTTAAGTGAATCATCATATCCTTAGTACTTAAATACAACAATACCATCCTTTWTCACCTATTTTGTCCTCTCTTGTTCAGAACGTGTTTGGGGATTTACCAGCCTTACCAGAGTACAAAGTTGCAGACGCCAAGAAGTCCAAATTCATCTTGCTTCACTACAGTACCTTCAAAGCAGGCTGGGACTGGCTGATTCTGCTCGCCACTTTCTACGTGGCGGTAACGGTGCCATACAACGTGTGTTTCATCGGAGACGATGACGATCTGACCCGCAGCACGACCGTCAGCGATATCAGCGTGGAGATTCTRTTCATCATAGGTTGGTGGCTGACAGAAACCGTTCGACTGCACAGGCGAAACCCCTTCACCTGCGTTCAGAATGACCTCGCTCTCTTCTGATTCCAGACATCGTTTTTAATTTTCGCACGACTTACGTCAGCAAGTCGGGCCAGGTGATCTTTGACGCTCGGCAGATTTGCATCCATTACCTGACCACGTGGTTCATCATCGACCTGGTGGCCGCGCTGCCCTTCGACCTGCTCTACGCCGTCAAAGTCAGCGTGGTATGTGCCTTGAACCCGTCTCACAGTGGATTTGTTTGTTACAAATGCAGCCGACCTTCAGGGAGCACCCGCTTCGGATGTTATCATCCATTAAATCAGTGGTTCTCAACCTTTTTTGAAGTACCGAACCCACCAGTTTCGTATGCGCATTCACTGAAGCCTTTTTAGTGACAAACAAAATATGATTTTTTTTTCCAAATTCAAGACATGGGTATATGTTGTTTTTTTACTGGTGTATAAAATGAGCCGTGCGTTAACATCACCTTGCTCAAAGAACAAAACCAATACAGTGCATGAACTCACAC